TGCCACACTACAGGGCTTCCCTGGTGGTGCAGTGGTTGAGAGTCCGCCTGCTGATGCAGGGGACACGGGTTCGTGCCCCGGTTTGGGAGGATCCCACATGCTGGGGAGCGGCTGGGCCCGTGAGCCATGGCCACTGAGCCTGTGTGTCCGGAGCCTGTGCTCTGCAACGGGAGAGGCCACAGCAGTGAGAGGCCTGCATACCGCAAAAAAAAAAAAATGCCACACTACAAATCATATATCTGATAGGGCGGTTAATATCCACAGTATATAAAGAATGTATACAACTCAAATACAGGTGACCAACAAGCACATGGAAAGATGCTCAACATCACTAATCATCAGGGAAATGCAAATAAAACCACAGTGAGATATCACGTCACGCCTGTTACAATGACTGTTATCAAAATGACAAGAAATAAGTGTTGGTGAGGATGTGGGGAAAAGGAACTCTAGTGCATCGTGTGCAGAAATGTAAATTTGTGCAGCCACTACAGAAAATAGTAGGAGGCTCCTCAAGACATTAAAAATAGAACTACCATATGATCCAGAAATTCCCCTCCTGGGTATTTATCTAAATATAATGAAAATAGTAATTTGAAAAGATATATACCCCCCCGCCATGTTCATTGCAGCATTATTTACAATAGCCAAGATAAGGAAATGAGTGTCCATCAGTGGAAGAATGGATAAAGAAGATGTGATATATATATATATATATATATATATATATATATATACACACACACACACACACACACACACAATGGAATACTCTTCAGCCATAAAAAAATGGCCTCTTGCCATTTGCAACAACAGGGATGGACCTTGGGGACATTATGCTAAGTGAAATAATTCAGAGAAAGGAATACCACATGATCTCATTTATGTGGAATTCAACAATAAAAGCAAGCTCAGATACAGAGAACGGACTGGTGGTTGCCAGAGGCGGGGGGAGTCAGGGGTGGGTGAGGATGCACAATGGGTGAAAGGGGTCAAAAGTTATTATAGACTTCCAGTTATAAAAAAAAATAAGCCCTGGGGATGTAATGTACAGCATAGTGAATATAGTTACTAATACTGTATTGCATATTTGAAAGATGCTACGAGGGTAGATCTTAAATATCCTTATTACAAGAAAAAAAATTTTTTTGTGATTTTGTGAGGTGACAGATGTTAACTAGACTTATTGTGGTGAGCATTTCGCAATATATACAAATGTTGAATCATTATGTTGTACACCTGAAACTAATATAATGTTACATGTCAATTATACCTCAATAAAAACAATATATTACTATCAATATAATACTTAAAAAAGAACTCTTCTCTCTGCAGTGGTTCTCACCCCTGGGTATACATTAGAATCACTGGAAGAGACTTTTACCCCACCCAGGTAAATCAGAATCTCTTAAAAGTTGGGACCAGTGCATTGGTATTTAATTTAAAATGCTCCCCAAGTGATTCTAATGAAGAGCCAGGGTTGAGAAGCCTTAGGGCCAAGGCTTCCTCAGCCTTCTTCTATGTAAGGTCCTTCTCTCCAGCACTATCAGTCTGGCCTTGGGTGATGCACAGTCATCAACTTCTTTGTTTCATGCAGGGTTCGGGAGGACACCTTTTAAGCCTGCCTTTCCATTTCCTATCATGGGATGGGTGGAAGTGCCTGGCGCCTTTCCTCCCAGGAAGGGCTGTCTCCTTTGCTCTGGATCTGTCCTTCACCCTCCTTGGGATACACAGCGAAAATGGCAGTCCCCTATGATAAGGCTGAAGAGGAACCTGGCTGAGCTCCTTGCTGGAGACAGATGCAGGGAAGCTGTGCACGTGTCTTGTAAACACACTAGTTTCTGCCCTGGAGAACAGGAAGGGGTAGTGTACTGGCAGTGGACTCTATGCATAGGAGGTGGTTCTCAGTTGGATTTTAAAAAATGAGGAGGGGGTATAATGACCCTCACTGCTGCTGGAAATATCACCTGGGGTCAAGTGTGGTGGTTCCTATAATTTGCTCCAATGCACTGTGCAGAATGGGGCAGGGGACATATCCCATCCATGCCTACCTGACCTGTTTACACTAAAAGCTTCTTCAAGAAAGTTTAGATGATTTAATATAGTTTCCCACACCCAGCCTAAAGTTCTAGAAGTCTGGTCTTTCTATAAGTGCCACACTGATTGATATTTCACAATTTAAATAGCTGGTTATATGTACTTAAAAGAGTTTTAAAACACATTTTATGTAAAAATGTTTTTCTCTGGGCTTGGGTGGATGGGTACGTGTGCTGGGGAGAGGCAGGGCAATATTCCCCCAGGCCGTGCTGCTGTTTCCCAACAAACAAAGCAGGAAGTGGTCGGCAAACGCATCTGGATTTCTGGCTTTGCCCTCCGAGCATTATGCGTAGCTCCCCTCTTGGGACCAGTTCTGTTCTCGGGTACCTCTGGGCTAGGGAGGGGTGGAGACACTTGTGCTTACCAGAGTCATGTTTTAACACTTCGTCTTTTATCATCCGGAATCCATCCCCACCCTTGGCAAGGAAGTTCGGGAGGATCACCTTGTACACCTCATCCATTCTGAGGGGCTCGTAACTGGGCACGCGACACTGGGTGCAAAGGACCTCTAATTTGACCACTCTTTCCCCGGGGTTTCGGGAAAGATCGTACACCACGTGAATTCCTAGAAAAGAAATGAGCCTGTATGTTTTCACTGGATCCAAAGGGAAATTTCTGTTTTCTAAGGAAGGGCCAAATCTGGAATTGGGGCACTGGGCTTAGTTTTCATTTAGTTTGAGCTTGAGTGAAATTTCAGCAAGAGAGCTGAGGTGACATTGCAGCTACCCTATCTGGTTAGGTTTGTCCTTGAGTCCTTCTGGGAGGTCTGAGAACCCCCAGGAGGAAAACTGGCTCTGGCCCAGAGTGGGCGAGAGGTGACTCTGCAGGGAGAAAACAGACCTTTTTAAAATCCTGAGTTAATTGGTCCAGCAACTTGGTTCAGTGGCTCTGGAAAATGAGGAACAGATGACAGGCACAGAACCTTGCACCATCTTGATGACTAAGAGACGTTAATAATTTGGGCTTGGGTGACTTTCACAAAACATACGACTACCCAGCACTGTGCTGGGGCACCAGAGCCCCGGTGTTCCCTCCACTCTGTCCTGGAAAACGCAGAATATCTGGGCTACCCCACAGGCAGCAGCCTGGACCCCACCACACTCTGCAGCCCCTCGATCCCAGCAGCGGAGTGCCCTGTAGAGGGAAGACTTCACAAAGCAATCACAGCCCTCAGGTGCAGCCCGCTATCTACAGGCCGGAAACTCAGGCCAGAATGTGGAGTCAGAGTCAAACAAGATCATTCATATTAATTTAAAGTTGAATTCATTGGACTGTGGACTTAATTATTGACGAAAGCGTTTCAGAAGTCCATGACAATTTGGGAAGCATTTGTTTTCCTTCCGTTTTCACTGCAATCCATGAGATAAGCAGGCCCATTTTCTCACCGTGCTCCTAGAGGCTGAGGGCTTGCCCCAGGTCCCGCTGGAACCAGAGCCAAGTTCCTATGTCTTGTCCAGACTGCCCCGCCCAGAAATCATCCTTGTTAATACTTATTGGACACTGCATTCCTTTGAACTTCTGTATGGTTCCAGGCACTCACAGAAAAAAACAAACAAAAAAAAACCCTTTTCTGTTTTTTTACGAAGAATATTGAATGTTGAAGCAACTAAGATTTTAATAGAAACTAGACCTCAAGGCAGCTGACCTGCTTAGAGTTTGGGGGGCCAGCTCCTGCCGAGACCATCTGATGTCCAAATCAGACTTGGCAAATGGTGCTCATTTTCGGGGCCTTGGGGCTTTGACCCCAACCTACTCCAGTGGTCTGGCCATTGAAAGACTATGCGTTGGTGTTGGGTGTGTGAAAACCCAAACAGGCCTGACCAAGAGGTTCTGGTAAGGGGGGAGCTAAGCCAGCCAGCAGGAAAGCCCACCCCACCTTGCAAGGTGACTTACCGCCCACCTGCAGGAACTCCCCTGTGGACTGGCCGTAGCGGTACACGCTGTGCTCGAAGGCCTTCTTCAGGGTGGAGCCTTTTAATTGGACCAGGTCAAAGGTGCCTCCAAAGGGCAACACAGCAGCCAGGTTCTCCCAGGTAATTGTGCCTGAGGGTAGTCACAGATGAGGTGAGGAGGAAAACAGCTGGAGAACTAGCACACCCCATGGCCGGTGTCCTTTAGGACTGGCGGAGCAGGTGAAGGAGACACGGGGCACAGGGAGGCTCTGAGGACAGCACAGCTGCGTCTAAGTGTTCCTGACACTTAGGGGGAGGATGGAATCAAGAGGCCTCTGGCCGTGCCCTCCACCACTGAGGCTGACACTTTTTGACAGCATTATAAGGGAAGACTACAACAGTGTCTTGAATATCTGTCTGGTTGGTTTGTTTTACCATATGCTATAATCCTGGATACCTGTAAATGCACTAGAGGAACTTATCCAGCTCTTTTTTCCCAGCACCTAAGATGGGCAATTTTTTTTTTTTTTTTGGCCATGCCGCATGGCATGTGGGCTCTTAGTTCCTCGACCAGGGATGGAACCCGTGCCCCCTGCAGGGGAAGCGCAGAGTCCTAACCACTGGACCGCCAGGGACGTCCCAAGATGGGCAATTTTGTCCTCTTTCCAGATATCCAGGTGGAGGCCATCACTATTTTGCATACGTCAGCCACCATATGCGTTTTGCCGTGTGAATCAGAAGTTGAGCTAAACCTTGGTGCCAGTAAGGCTGGCTGCTCCCTCTGTGAGCAAATGCATCCAAGAACACACAAGCCTGTGTGCGCCCTTCAGGTGGGGCACTGACTCGAGTGGCCGAAGGGCCTGGCACGGTGGGGGGGTCTTGGGGGACTGGTCAGACAGACAGCACGCTGAGCTGAGGCCGGGGGCCGGGAGCTGGGAGCATACCGTTGTTCCGCTCGTCAATGGGTGACCGGATGCTGCCTCCGTTTAAAATGCACATGGACACGTGGTTCCAGGACATCTCATCCGGGTGTCTCAGGTTGTTGTTAATCTGCAACAGTAGCATGAATTTACACTCGTTATTCTGGGTCCTCCTCCTTAGGGTCAGTGCCCAGAACTTGGTTAGCTGCACCGGGCAAATAAAGCTGCTGTTCTCCTGCTCCTGTGTGTGCCCAGAGCTTTCTCAAGTGTAATTCATCAGAACTAGTCTTATGCTCTGAGAAGCAAACCTCAGATACTGTGACCAGTCCCAGGTCAGACTCTTGAGTAGCCAGTAGCTCTGAGCCCCTCTCCTAAGACCCCTGCAACCCGCCAGGCCAGGGGCCCTTAGCAAAGCCAGCACTTGAAGTAGGAGGAAGGGGCTTCTGTGCAGACTGACCCACGGGGCTGCTCCCCCCAGGGCTCCTCCAGGGCAGGACCCACATTTGCTCCTGAGGGCGGAGCCCAGAGCCTTTCAACTCCAGACCTCAGGCCACAAAGGACCCTGGCATCCATGTCTAGGTCCCCAGCCAGTTCCCAAGTTGGCAATTTTGGATACAAGAGAGAGATGGGGGAGCCCCTGAAACGGGGGAGAGTCAGTTTCATTCTTCCTTTTCTTTTACAAAACATATGTTTAGTTACAAGAAATAAAACGAATTACATTCTCATTTGAAAAAATATGATGGTGGAAGAGGTGAGGGAGACACAGGGCCACAGGGCGGCTATGAGGGCAGCACAGCTGCAGTGTTCCTGATGCTTAGCAGGAGAAGGGGCTCATTCTCTCTTTGTTAGGTAAGCCCTGCTAGAGCCTGGGGTGTTTCCTTCCAGACCTGCCTCTGCACATTCACAACTCTGGCTTCTCGTTAGCTGCTTGTCTCGCACTGACCGTGCGATGCTGAGCCTCCAGCACTTGTCCCACCTTGGAAAGCGTGAGTGTCGTCATTTACTTGGCAGACATTTATTGAGTGTGGCTGCATCCTAGGTACCGGGCACCCGGCACCGAGCTGAGCCCAGACAAAGGAACGGCCTCTTGGGTGCCCCTGGGCATGGTGAGTCTCAGCTGGAGACCTCGGCTGGGCACGGCCCTCCCGGGGGGGCTGCCCGCAGATAGGTGGACAGAGGGGTGTTTTTGGTGCGGGAACTCGCTCCAACATGGGACTTATTATTCTTGTGATAACTGCCTTGCTTGTGAAGGTGGTTCACACAAGGCCGAGTTCTCTGGGGTCAAGAGGACAGATCAGTGAAACACACTCTGGCCTAAGTTAGGCCCAGGCAGATGTATTTAATTCTATGTCTACTTCTTGGGAGGAGCAGAGTTTGTGGATTCAGGTCATCTTACCAAAGGAAAGCAACATCCAATATTCAGACACCTAAGATGAGCACCTTGAAATAAAGGCTTCTGTCCTTTTGTTTTTGGCGGCACTGCGCAGCATGCAGAACTCACCTGAACAGGGATCGAACCTGCACCCCCTGCAGCGGAAGCATGGAATCTTAACCACTGGACCGCCAGGGAAGTCCAAGGCTGCCGTTCTTGTAAAGCAATAAAGGTATGGCCCACTGGTCTGGTTCGGACACCTTCCCAAGGTACTCAGTGTGATTACACGCCAAGCTTTTGTCTGGGGACTAATTTCTAAAAGTCCTCAATTCTGTAACTGTCAGGTTGTCCGTCCTTGCATCCTCCCTCCCTAGGCACGGGCCCTGCTCTCCTGTGGACCACTCACCACAGCATCACAAATCAGGTTGCCCATGTTGCATTCTCGAAAGCGGCATGACTGAGTGGTGCCATCCAGATAGACAATTGTTTTCCCCAGTTCCTGGGTCGAGTAATTATCTAATTTTATCCTCCATTTGTTAATGTCTGCTTTTATGCTTGGATCTAGAAGAAAACAAACAAATCAGCCTGCAGTTAAAGCCTAAATGTTGGAGAAAGGCTCAAATGTCATTCAGCTCACCTGGCGTGAGTACAGTTCTTTACCGTATTTGTGTACATTTTGATTTTGACTGGGAAATTTCCTTAGGAACCTCTATTCCGTTTCCTGGGAGTAAGACCCAGCTTGGATCTTAAAGACGTGCCAAGTAAATCAGCAACAACTCGTCACATCTGATTGAGTGTCTGCTGGCTCAACGGGGAGGGCATTAGTGGTGGGGAGACAATGAGAGGCCCAAGGGCAGGTATAAAGGGTTGAGACGTCCGGCTACAGGGTCCCGGCCCCTCCCTCTGGCCGTCAGGAGCTCTGGCTCTCCAGGGCCCCTGGTCACCCGTCCTTCCCTGTCTGATCACGGTAAGCAGGAAGGGGCAGGCGAGAGAGAAGCACAGGAGGATGTTCATGTACACTGTATGAAATGCATGACATGAAATGTCTTTTCGTTTTGATTCCCAGATCAAAAAGTAAGAAAGACACACACGCATTTGAGGACCTGAAGCCCATGGAGACTGGGCCGCTTGCCCAGGTACACTGCTCCCTTTGCCCCAACAATCAGCTCTCCTCTGGACATGGGCCGAGAGTGGCTCTCCTGCGCCAGGATGAAGCTGGAAGAGACACGAGAGGCAGCGACACAGTGTCTGATGCTGAGAGGGCTTGGAGGAGCACATGGGGCTTTTGCAATTCGTGTGTGTTTTAAATCTCCTTATCCACGAAGAGGGTAGAGTAAACTCAAGGGAGAAAGAAGCTCGGGTCTTCAAAAACATTGTCCTGAAACATTAACCAAAAAATAAAAAGGAAAAAAAAAAGAAAAAAAAATCCAGCCACCAATTGGTGGATCACTGCCCTGAATTTCACGTACCTTCCAGAATGCTGCTGTTGAGAAGGATGGGATTTCCATGTGAAGTGACGACGTTTCCTTTTTCATCAAACTCGACCTTCAGATAGCCTAGGTATTTGCCAAAAGCATAGGCCTGGACCACGGGAACCTGCCGTCCGTCATCGGACGTGACTATGAATGGGTACTGCCCCGCCGGCACCTCTTTGGAAGGTGGAGTGCCTGCAATGAAAGATCCAAAGTTAATCAAGTGGGCCCTTGTTCATGGACGGCCGGGAGCCTGCAGGCTGCCGGCCAGGTGACTGCGAATTCTGAACTGACGATTTGCCAGCTGCTGCTCTACACAGCTGGTCTTTCAGAGCCCAGCTCGGGCATCTGCCCGTTTCCGAATGCCCTTTTGGCACGTGAATCCTTCCATTCTCAACCCAGCAGCGGTTGCTAAGCTCTTGCTAAGTCCTGGGCACCGTGCCCGGTGCTACGTGGCATACAAAGATGCGACACTGCTAAGACAGTCCCACCTCCATCCTGACCCTGGCTCCAATCTCACCAGCCGGGTGAAGCAGCCAAACCACTTCACCTCACCGTGCTTCAGTTTCCCCATCTGTAAAATGGGCATAATAACGGGTTATTGCTGCCATCCTGGGCTTAGCAGTGCCAATTTCAAAGCCCTCGGGCAGCAGACTCTTGTGTCTACTGAGTCCTCCCTGGTGGCGGAGTCCTTCTGTGTGGGGGGAACGTGTCAGAGTCCCCGGTTTGGTGCTCCGGTGCTGTCGGGCCTCTGTGACGTGCAGAGGGGTGCTCCGGGCGAGGGTGGGGCGGGGGGACGGCGGGTGCACAGGCAGGCTGTGGGCAGTGCCGACTCCTGAGGTCCAGTGTCTCACGGTGACCTCTAGAAAGTGTCCGCTCTTCACTGGGCCCAGAAAACCCCATACAATCATGCAAATCAACCGGTTCAAATCTTCGTGTTCACTTTAAGGACACTCGTGAAACTGCCAGGCCAAAAGCCACCAAGTATCTGAAGGATGTCACTTTACAGAAGCAATGTGTGCCATTCCATCATTCCAATGGTGGAGTTGGTAGGTGCGCCCAGGCCAAACAGTGGGGCCAGACGCAGGGTCGGTGGCCTCCAAAAGGTGCTGAATTGTTACTGCACACGCTCAAAACTGCAGAGAGTAATGCTGAGCTTAAGGGCTTAGATGCAGATTCTCTGGTCATGGAGCATGTTCAAGTGAACAAAGCCCCCAAGATGCGATGCAGGATTTATAGAGCTTGTGATCGGATCAACACAAGCTCTCCCTGCCACATTGAGATGATCCTTCGTGGAAAAGAACAGACTGTTACTAAACCAGAAGAGGAGGTTGCACAGAACAAAAAGATACCCCAGAAAAAAACTGAAGAAACAAAAACTTATTACCTGGGAATAAATGCCGCAAAAAAAAAAAAAAAAAAAGCAGAAGTAAAAAAAAAAAAGGCAAAATAACAATTCCTATTTCACAGGAATCTTGAGAGGATTAAACATTTAAACTCTCTTCCTGGGACTTCCCTGGTGGTCCAGTTAAGACTCCGTGCTCCCAATGCAGAGGGCTCGGGTTTGATCCCTGGTCAAGGAACTAGATCCCACGTGCCACAACTAAGTGTTCGCATGTCACAACTGAAGATCCTGTATGCCGCAACTAAGACCCGGCACAGCCAAATTAAAACAAAACAAAACAAAACTCTCTTGCAGACTGCCTGGCACATAATAGATACTCAATAAATGTGTATTTCTTTTCCACATGAGGGAATGGCCACCTCTAGAAACCCTAGACACACACTCCAGAGCTTAGACTCTTTAGTGGAAGATCAGCAGAAATGACAAGAAATTAACACAACATTGTAAATCAACTATACTCAATAAAAAATAGAAATGACAAAAGGCCATCCTTAGGTTTTTTTTTTTTTTCATCCTTAGGTTTTGTTGCTGAGTTCTGTGTCCCCTCGGGTGCCTTGAGGAAGAGCCACATTCACCGGGGCGGCCGACTGACACACAGACCTCCCGCCCCAGCCAGACCGCAGACCTGCCGGGTTCTGCTGAGTTCTGTCTCAAAGGGGAGCCCTGGGGAGAGCCTGGGAGCCACTTATCTCAAAGGGGAGCCAGAGGCTGAGTCCCATCCCAGCACGGTCTCCCGGACACACGCCGTGTGAGGGTGGGAGCCCGGCACTCGGAGCATGAGCCCTGGGCTCTGATCACCTGGCACGTTTCAGTTCTACAACTGCACCCCTCCTATGGGTGCCCTGTACTTCCCATCTCACCTCCGGCGAGAGCGGGATCTCATCTGGGCTGTTCTGAGTCAGAGACTATAGAACAGATACCTTTGACCCACTACTATTTCTATCACCTCCCTCTGCACACCCACTACCAGCGCTTCCTATTAGATGTTCACTGAGAGCCCGGAGAACTTCAGTTTGTGTTGGTTCCTCATTGGACCCGTTATGAGAGTCAGCCAGGAGCCAGCCCCGGGCTAGATCTCATTTAATCCTCCAGGAATCCCACGAGGCAGCTCCTATTATTATCCCCACACTGTAGACCAGAAGACCAGTTGTCACAGGCATGCGTCCATGGTCACGCAGCTGGTATGTGAAGGAGGGCGGGTTGAAAAGCAGGGCTGTGAGACACCGGAGCTTATGTTCTCTCCACTGCCCAACACAGCCTACGACGTGCTGTTCTCAGAGAGCCTGCAAGAGACGGTTTCCAAAGGGCACTCACCAAAGCAGGTGCAAGCCCAGTGGCTGCACCTTTGTGCCCCAAGCTGTGTCTGGGCTTCCCTTTTCACTGAAGACATTATGCTGTACACCTGGGTTTATGAAAAACCCAGTCCTGCCTTGCTCCTGAGCCAAAAGCAGCCCCTTTAGCTCAGTAACCACAGAGCAGAAGTGCTGCAAATACCAACATTTCACCAGCAGGAAATATTCATAGCTGTGGCCAATCTTAATTTCCCATTGTCTTGCTTCCTCTGGATAAAGAAGAAAGCCTTGGAATTTTATTTCTACAAAAGCACAGACTTGAGATCCAGTGCAGGCCGTGTCCCATCTCCATTTGCACAGGCTTACGGGTGGCCGGCAGATGGTGGCGGTGACTGCCATAGATGGTCTGATGCATTGAAGAGTAGCATTCCGTTTTGTGGTGGTCCTTGGACAGACCTGGAGCCTGGCCTTTACTTCAGGGGACGGGGATGTGGCAGTCCCCTCACCTTCTCAGCTGGGCACGGTTAGGGAAGGTGGCTCATCCTCTGAGCCCAGAGAAGCCTGGCAACGTGCAGTTCCCATTATATCCACAAGGTGGCGCACAACACCTCGTCCAGGAGGAACAGGCCCTACATCTGTTTCAGAAAGGGGTCTGGCAGATTCCTGGAAACCCAAGAGAAGGGCAAGCCTGACTTCTTTAGCCTTTATTTTTTCTGCCTTCCATAAATATATCTGAGTTTAAACAGAACGTAAAAATTCGGAATCGAACTATGGGGTCAGATACCTCATCAGATCAGCTTGCTCTTTACAAATAGGAGCCACCAACCCCAGCTCCTGTAGCACAGGGGACTTTCTCCGGTGCTGAGTGGCCTTGATATGCCGTTTGTTAGAACAAAAGATGTGTCATCTTCATCTCAGATGGACTTAATCGGAGACAAGGAGGACGTTTCCCACGTGGCTGAGACAATAACCAGTTTAGTTTGGCTCCAGTCTGCGTTCCCCACAGCTGGGCCCTCTCTGCTTCCTGTGCACTTGGCAACCCCAGAAAACCACTGGCAGAGAAAGCAATCCAGGGCTTCAGAGTTCCCACAGCACTCTATTAAGCCACAGAGGCTCACGCCCCAGATCGTCTCTCCACACACAAGAGCCACATATCTGTCTTTAGAAACACAGCCTGTCCTCTTGGCAGGGGGAAAACTGTTTACCAGAACTCTATTCCAGACTTTTGGCAAATCAGTCCTCTTGGAAGCAAGCCTTGGAGGAGCCAGGAGCTGTGGGGCTGACATTTAGAGCTGGTAACAGGGCATTCCCTAGAACAGCGAGGGTGTCTGAGGGAACGGAACAGCAGCCCCTCAGGAATGCGGGCGTTCCCAGCTTAGGCCCAGGCAAGCGCCTGCCCAGCTGATACGGAGCAGGGCCCTGTGGGACTCCTGGGCACAAGACTCCTTGCTCGGCACCTGGCAAACAAACGCTGTACTTTCCTTCACTACAACCTGGTGTCAGTGGACTGGCTTTTCTGCATGGCAGGTGAGCAGACCCACGTTCGCTTGGATAGCAACACTACAATTTTTGACGTGAGCATCATAGCCTATCAGACCCACACGATGTGGCCCAGCTTCATCTAGACCCTTCACCCTGCACTTCAGCAATCTTAGTTTCTCCCATTCCTAGACCACACCCGCCTCCATAGTCATGAATATAGAGTAAGACCTGGAACCAGAGGCCCACAGGCAAATTATTTACATCTTTTTGTTTCAGTTTATTCATCTGTAAAAGGAGAAAATAACAATACCTGCCTGAGAGGTTGTTTCGAGAATTAAAGAAGTTAAGCAGCACATGAAGCCTGACTCAGGTAAACGCCCAATAAAGGTTAGAGATAATTATTTACCAAGTTACCATCATCTCTAATGATTCCCCAGACGTGCTCAGGCGCTCCTATACCTGCTCTCCCAGCATTGTGGACTTCTTCCTTCACAGCATGCTTTGTAATTACATATGATTGATTTCTTTGCATACTTAAAAAAAAAATCTGATTGGCATCAGGATCCCTTTCAAGCCAGTAAGTTCCATGCGGGCAGAGGCTGCTGTGTCTCTGGGGCTGGCCCAGCATATAGTAGGTGGTCAATAAATGTTGAACGACTGATTTTAAGTGGTTTAGCCAACAGTTCTCCAGAGATAAGACAAGATTTACATGCCCTTCCTGTGGAGGAATCCATATGTCAAGGGGAGTCATGCCCCATCCCCCAACTCCCCTCCATTCAATTTCCTCAACTAATGAGCTGGGTGGGGCTCATAAAGCCGAACACCTGCTTGTCGAGAGAATGGGTTTTGGTGCCAGCTCCCTTTTAATCTTGTTTCACAACCTTGGGAGAGACTTTTAACTCCTGGGACCTAAATTTATTTCCTGTATTTGTAAAACAAGAGATTTGATAGTGTTTGACACCAAAAGTAGTTTAATTTTTTTTTTTTTTTAAGTTATGAGCATCTTTCACATGCAGGAAGTCTTGTGGCATTGCAAGCCATGAAGTAGGCTGGCCAAGATGCCCTTTTCCCCCCAGGTAGTCAGGCCAGCTGCTGTCAAAAGGTGTTCCGCAACCAGAGGGGTGAGTCACTGTCTCCTCAGCCATCTCTGTACCCGACCCTGATACACAGGCTGTCATGTCTCCTCCAGGGAACTCAAGGGGCCACTGACATTCTCCATATTGGGACTCTGTCCCTCTGTTTTGTACATGCTTCGATATACTGCCCACATTCTGGCTCTTGGACATTCAGTGATGACCGGAAGGTCTAACAGTGATGACGTATCTTCAAGTGGTACCCAGAGTGGGCACAAACTCTCATGAAGTCCAATCCGGGCTGTCTGCCTGTACCTGGTCCTGACTGGCTGGGGTAAATAAGAGACCCCGGCAGGGTGGGAATGGGTTCACACACATTCACTCACTCAACAAAACACCTCCAAGCTCCAACAAGTGCCCAGTGTGTGGGACTCCACTGTCCTGTGGAGCCAGGCCTGAGGGCTTCGCTTCATCTTTGTGAGGCCTGGAGAGGCCACTCACTGGGGAAAGTTTTCACTGGGAAAACTCTCCTCTCCTCTGCTGTCCATCACCCTCTTCTCTTCACGGAGGATCTAAGTCAGGGTGACTATCCTTCCAGACACCAGACTTCCCATTCGCTTTTTACATTTTAGAACAGGGTTTTATATAAAAATTAAAAACAAAATCATAACAATGCAGCCATCCCCTGGTTCCATCACTATGGCCTGTTAAAATGCAAAGTCCAAAGGAACGGGCTGGAGAGAGAGAGACTGATTTTCATGTTAACATGCTTTGTAGTTCCATTTGAAATTAAAAAGGAGGTCCACAGGACCATGAATTGATGTAAATAAACCTGATATTTTTTTTTACGGAAAATCAGCATTTAGCTGGACAGGGCATTCCAGAGTGGTTCTGTACCCTGGGAAATGCTAGGTGTTTGTATTCAGTGAGGGTCTGAACTGCTGATTTCCACAAAGCATTAGCTTCGGCCACAGTGGCGGGCAGTGGAGCACACGATGCACAATTCAAATAGGCTCATCTCAGAACCTGGAGGACTTCTGGTGGGGAAGCCCGAAGCTCTGCTTCCGCAACATGACAGACGATTTGGAAATTTCCTTACACGTGAGATGTCAAAACTGACAACCGTATGAGTTTCTAGGTTTGGGGGAAATTAATAAACTGAGGACAAGAGATCTGAGTGAGGCACAGCCAGGCTGCTTGGGACAAAGCACCGCACTCCCGGTTTCTTATCTTTTAAAGGTAAGAAGATACATTTGGTCATTTGTGTATTTAGCTCAGATTCTCAAATTGAGTATATGCCTCTCCTTTTTAAAAAATTTAACACACATATTTATAAGAATTCAAGTTGTGAAAGTAACCAGATCAGGCCCAAGATGGAGCCGCTCATGCTAAGATTCCCGTCAGCAAACCAGAACTCCACTGCGCTTCTGCGTGGCTCCCCCAGAACAGGCAGGCCCGGCGCTCCCAGCCCCGCAGGCCCATGCCGCACAGGCTCCAAGACCTCCCTGCGCTTCTGCGTGGCTCCCCCAGAACAGGCAGGCCCGGCGCTCCCAGCCCCGCAGGCCCATGCCGCACAGGCTCCAAGACCTCCCTGCGCTCCACAGAAGGGAAGTTAACCGTCAGCAATGCCCAGGGCAACTTCCTTGTTTCTGCTCCCTTTGGTCTCTAAGACCCTATGGCCTCCTACAGCTCTTCCGAGCCCCCTTTTCTCTGCCACATGGGATGCTGCTCCGCCCATGAATTGCCAAATAAAAGCCTACTGATCAGTAAATTGTCTGTGGAAAATTTTCTTTTCATAAACTTTAGGATTAATGGTTCAGTTTCTAGGGTTTAGAGAGGTTAAAAAATTTTTCTTTTTTATCAAAGTAAAACTAGCATGGCATATTTGGCAAATGGAGAAGAAAAATTTAATTACAGTCCCACCCCGCCATGGCAATAACCAATATAATTTCTGTGAATTAAAAAAAATATATATATATGTATGAAGAGAACAGACTTGTGGTGGCCAAGGGGGAGGGAGGGTGTGTGAGGGAAGGATTGGGAGTTTGGGATTAGCAGATGCAAACTAGTATATATAGAATGGATAAGCAACAAGGTCCTACTGTAGAGCACAGGGAACTATATTCAATATCTTGTGATACACCAAAATGGAAAAGAATATAAAAAAGAGTGTGTATACATGTATAACTAAACCGCTTTGCTGTACAGCAGAAATTAACACAACATTGTAAATCAAGTATACTTCAATTAAAAAAATATATGTAGGGCTTCCCTAGTGGCACAGTAGTTAAGAATCTGCCTGCCGATGCAGGGGACACGGGTTCGAGCCCTGGTCTGGGAAGATCCCACATGCCGCGGAGCAACTAGGCCCGTGTGCCACAACTACTGAGCCTGCGCTCTAGAGCCCGTGAGCCACAACTACTGAGCCCACATGCCACAGCTACTGAAGCCCGAGCACCTAGAGCCCGTGCTCCGCAACGAGAAGCCACCGCAATGAGAAGCCTGTGCACCGCAACGAAGAGTAGCCCCCGCTCGCTGCAACTAAAGAAAGCCCGCGCACGGCAACAAAGACCCAACGCAGCCATAAATAAATAAACAAAAACAAACAAATAATAAATAAAATACGTATGCACGGATAGCAAAGGGGGAAATGGGTGGCAGAATCCGTTATAGGGAAAAAATCATTTTCTGTCTAGTAAACACCTGTGAGAGGACCAGGGTCCGCCAGGCTTCCCTAATGACGGTCTTGCATCCTCGTTCCTCTCCTCCTCCCCAGGGGGAGGTGAGGCAGACCTGCCTGGAAGGATGGGTCCCTGACAATGATGGGGATGGTGGAGCAGGGGTGTGCACAAAGAGCTTAATTTTTTGCATAAAAATAGTGGGAGAAAACTTGAGTTTCAGGGGTAGCCTTGGATCAAGGGGGTGAGTGAGGACAGGAGTAACAAGAGGAGAACCGGAATGGGAGGAGGGCGGGCTGCGGAAGAAAGCCAGAAAGCCAGCCAGCGAGGCACGCCCTGGGGTGGCAGAGACTTGGAAGGCAGAGTCATCCCAGGCTGCACAGCGGTGGGTCCCCTGCTGTGCGTAGCCGACTTGGAGGGAAGTTACCTCATGTGGATGGAATTCAGGGAGATCAAGAAGAAAGGGCACTCTTCCATATTTGAGTCTCTGCTGCATGGACAAGAAGAATGGTTTGAAAGAGGCAAGAACAGGGGGGACACAAGTAAGAATCAGGACCTAGGGGATCAGGAAAAATAGAGGCTCCCCAAGGAATGATCAGATTTTGGGGGGGGGTGAGAAGAGCTCCAGTGTTTCCCGAGTTTTGTAAGATAAAGAGTCTTTTTATTTATTCAAGAGAGGAGTGACCTCATAAATTAGTTTGGAGTTCTGTCAAGTGACTACAGTCTGGGTAATAAATGTTTGTATAGTTGTAAAAGAAAAAAAATTGTTGGGGCTTCCCTGGTGGCACAGTGGTTCAGAGTCCGCCTGCCGATGCAGGGGACACGGGTTCGTGCCCCGGTCTGGGAGGGTCCCGCGTGCCGCAGAGCGGCTGGGCCCGTGAGCCATGGCCGCTGAGCCTGCGCGTCCAGAGCCTGTGCTCCGCAACAGGAGAGGCCACAACGGTGAGAGGCCCGCGTACGGCAAAAAAAAAAAAAAAAAAAAAATGTATCTTCCTCTTTTTCATTTAAAATGAAATTGTATACATTTTCCCATGTTGCAGAATATTGGAGAACTGACATATTTTTCTTGGACCCACTACGTTCTGTTCCTATACCACCTCATTTAATCCCTACGACATTCTCTGAGGTAGTCGTATCACTGTAGCGGTTTTTTAAAATAAAAAGCTGAAGCTCAGAGTGGTTAAGTAACATGTCTGAGGTCGGACAGCCAGTAGTGACCAACCCCGGGGGGAGACTGTGGCCGTCAGAGTCCAAAGCCCTCTCCATGACCCCGTGCTGCTTGTCACAGTGAGGCTGGAAAAATGAGGTCCTTGAAGACCATCAAGGGGCAAACTTAGGGCAACACGAATGGCAGCCCCGGGAAGAGATCTGCCCTGTGGCAGGAGCAGGCTTTGGATTTCACAATATGTAGTCGGTCATCAGCTTGCCTGACAACTCAACCCTGCCAAAGGATGTGACCCTGTTTTACAGATCATTTGGGGTTTGGCTCACCCCACTTCGCCCTGGAAAGCGGTTTCATGAGACGTAACTAAAACCGATCAGTGTTATGTGGCTGCAAAAATCGTTAACCAGAAGGCTTTGGCTTTGCTCCGTGAAGGAAGCTGGTGCTGGTGCTGGGCTATGGCTGGAAGCTGACCGAGGGGTCCTGAGTAGTGACCCCTGGGACAAGTGAGTCCCGGTGCCACCAAGGACATCATCTTTGAAGTTACCGGCCACACCTCTGTCCTCTGGCTCATTCTCCCGGCTCACTCAATAAACCCACACATCAGCAATCCTACGGATGCCCAAAGGAAGCGGTTCTTTGTTGGAGAGTGTTTCCCTGTCCTGTGGATGTAGTAAATAATAAGACCACTTTCTTGTTCTAAAAGACAAGATTATCTCAACTACAAGAGTGAAAATCAATGGCGAGATGAACAATGATTGCAAACCACAACCAAGGCTTTTGTCCTCGCTCGCTTATTCTAACAAAGCAGGGATGGCTCCGCCCCTGCACTCGGAGTACCCGGCCGCCTGCTGCCGTGTGAAGAACAAACGCTAAGGTTTCCTGGTTTTATTTATACTTAAACTGTGAACTCCATTTGTTTTGAGAACAAAATCCGGTGGTTGTTAAAATCACTTATGTTCTCTAAGTCAATGAAAAGGCTTGAATTTCATTTTCAAGAAACGTGTGCCAAAATCCAGAAGCAATACAAATGAGGTACTTAATACAAAAAGCTGTTCAAATAAAGAAATCTTACTTAAAAAATAAATTTTTTTTTTTTTGGCCACGCCATGCATCATGTGAGATCTCAGTTCCCTGACTAGGGATCAAACCCATGCCTCCAGCAGTGGAAGCAGGAAGCCCTAACCACTGGACCACCAGGGAAGTCCCAAAAGAGCTTACTTTTTTTTTTTTTTGCGGTACGTGGGCCTCTCACTGCTGTGGCCTCTCCCGTTGCGGAGCACAGGCTCCGGACGCACAGGCTCAGTGGCCACGGCTCACGGGCCCAGCTGCTCCACGGCATGTGGGATCCTCCCAGACCGGGGCAGGAACCCGTGTCCCCTGCATCGGCAGGCAGACTCTCAACCTCTGCGCCACCAGGGAAGCCCAAGAGCTTACTTTTAAAGGAGCTACATCTGTCGGCATTCACTCAACAATCCTGGGCACCCACCTTCTGGGTGTCAGCCAGAGACGTGGGGTGAGTCTGTAATGGATGCTCCCAGGCTAAGGAGGAGAAGTAACACCTGCTGGGCTGGGAGGGGAGGAGGGTTCACCAGACCGAGGTTTCCGTGAGGCTGCAGGCCGCTTCGCAGAGGAATAAGGGTGAGAGAGCCTTAAGGAGAGGAGGGAGGTGGGCAGTGGGGCTGTGGGCATGCCGCAATTCAGGATGATGATCAGGTCTCAGCCTGTGGTCCCAGAAGTGAGGTTGCTGAAAAGGAGGCGACAGTCACGAGTTGATAGGATCAAGGGACTCTGAACTTGGGTATTGGCTCCACCATCCATATAGACACTCAGCCAGGATGCAGGCAGGAGCTGGAGTGCAGAGGAAAACAGGACGTTGGGTGCTAAATTCTTGGTGACACTGGGGAGGGGCTTAGGTGACAGTGATAAGGGGGGGGGGGAGACAGGGTAACCAGGAGGTGTGGGCCTCAAAGGAGCTGTAGATATAAAGAAAATCACTGCAGTAACCTAAGGAAGTTACAGAGTATTCTACCAAGAAATGTTTTACTTCCCCAAATTCCCGCAAGTAAGCAGTCAGGCTCTTGGCATGGATGCCTTTCTAGGGAGCAGGGTGTTTGAATAGAAGGGATCATAGACGTCACGCTTGTAACTCCTTAACTGTGCAGATGGAGGAAAGGACGGACATCTACACTCACCAAGGCCACAGCAAACTGATGGGCTTGCATGATCCAAAATCCAGTTAAAAAAAGCGGGAGACAAACAGAGCGACGGCATCTCAGGAGCCTGTCTGCCTTCAAGGGTCACATGCAGAGGAGAGTCCCCTGGCACACCTGCCACATCTTCCAACCTGCACACACTTTAACTACTTTTTTGTCCAAAGGCAACAGCATGGACCAGTTCCTTAACTCTAGGATTTAAATCCTTTAGAAGTCTGCATTCTAGCCCTCATCCTCGCAGCTCTGACATTTTGCAAGCCTGGACGTGGAAGTCCTCTCCTCTTCATCCCAACGTGAGAACGGTCAGGCAATACCAGGGTTGTCTGGTCTGCATGTGCACGGCGGCTGTAATCCAGAGAACCTGCATGCAGGGGCTTCACTATTTGGAGGGGAACCGTCCATGTCCTATTTTGGTCGTGCCCCACTTAAAGCTGAGGTTTTAAAAATATGGACTGGTGACAAGACAATGAATCTTATTTAACAGGTAGTCACCAGCATTTAAAAAAATTAAATAACAGAATAGAAAATATCAGGTGCAATCCCGAAACTTTGTGAAATTCTCTTTCAGGTGAGTGTGTTTGTGTGTGTTGGGTCCTGTGTGTGCGCTGAAATGGTTCTCAGCAAGATTTAAAATTCCAAAAGATGTATTATTTTAACCCTAATTTGATTAACCAATCATATTTAACTTTAAGCTAATTCCAAAGGCAATTCAGCGGAGGGTTGTTTTTTGTTGTTGCTTTGTTTTTCGAGGCTGGGAAAATTTATTTAAACAAGCAAGTATGCCTCATCCTCTACTGTGTCCTGGAATTACCTTTCATTGTTAAGTTCATTCCTCACAATGATGAATATCCAAATTGAATATTTTCATGAGAACAAGTTTAATCTTGGTAAGAAATCATGAAATGTGAGATAAATGACAAAGACTCTACAGGCAGTTTTTTCCA